ATACAATGTTTATTTCTCCTTCTGTTTTTAAATTTTGTTTTTTTTTGGATTATTAATTTGTTGATTTTTGTAATTTTAAAAATCATGTGCCTAGATCATTAGGCTTCTCTTTCTCTTTTGTGAATATATGTTTTCAGATATATACATTTTCCTCTAAGGACTGATATACCTTTTATGCCACAAATTTTGGTAGTTATATCATTGGTTTTTTTTTCCGCTAGGCAATGGGGTTAAGTGACTTGCCCAGGGTCACATAGCTAGTAAGTGTCAAATGTCTGAAATTGGCTTTGAACTCAGGTCTTCCTGACTCTACGGGCAGAGCTCTATCCACTGCACCACCTGGCTGCCCTGCATTGTTGTTCTTTTTTTTTAGTGCAATTATTTTTCAGTTCTAAGATTAGTTCTGTGAGCAGTTCTTAATTTAGGATGCTCTGTCAATCAGTCAATAAATATTTATTAAATGCTTATTATGTGCCAGGCACTTTGTTAACTACTGCTGATACAAAGAAAGACAACAACAATCCTTGTTCCTAAGAAGCTTGATTTCTAATAAGGGAGACAGGTCAGTGCTTTTGTTTGATTTCTTCTGTAAGAACCAGAAAAGATACCCACTTCCACCAATTTTTTTCTCAGAAAAGCTAGTAGATAATATTCCATATTTCTCTGTATTAATCTATATGCCGTAGGATTATTTTGTTCTTGAAAATTTTAAAAAGATTTTGCAGCTGGGCATTTAGGTGGTACTGTGGACAGAGCGCTGGGCCTGGGGTCAGGAAGACCTGAATTTAAATCTGGCCTCAGATACTTACTAGCTGTGTGACCTTTGGTAAGTCACTTAATTTCTGTTCCCTCAATTTCCTCAACTCTAAAATGAAGAGAATAACAGCACCAATCTCCCAGCATTGTTGTGAGGATCAAATGAGATAATATTGTTTTTAGCAAAGTGCCTGGTATGTAATAGGTGCTATATAAATGATAATTATCATAATCATGATCTTCATTATTTTTATTGTGAAACTATCTGGCCCAAAAGTTTGTTAATGACTCTGTGTGTGTGTGTGTGTGTGTGTGTGTGTAATTCTTTGATGGGTTTTATCCTCCTTCTAAGATTGATCTATTTAAATTATTCAGATACAAAATTCTCTGACTTGTTAGAATATAGTTGTATGTAACATTCCCTAATAATGTTCTTAATTTCTTTTGTTTTTAATGACCTCCCCCTTTTACATTTGTGGCTTTGTTGTTTTTAATTTTTTCTCTCCTTCTTTTAAAATGAAATTTATTAATGGTCCATCAGTTTTATTGGCTTTTTCAAAGAGCCAACTCCTGGTTTTATTTACCAATTCAATTGTTCAGCATTATTTTCTTGTATATTTATTTTGGCTCCTAGGTTAATAATCTTTCTCTCTCTTCTAAACTTTCTTTTGAATTCCTGATTTGTTTCATCATTGGATTTTAGAGTTGGAAGGGACTTCAGCATTATTCAACAAGTCTAACATATCAAAAATTTATCCCTATCATATTTCCAATAAGTGGTCAAGCTTCTGCTTGAAAACCACTTCTAATTTTTTTTAGGTCTAATCTTAATTTACTTATTTTATTTTTTTCTTTTCATTAATATAGCTGCCAAATAATACAAATTTGCCTATAAAAAACTGCTTGGCTATAAACCAGAGATTTGGCTATATGGCATTATTATTGTCATTGACTTTTAAATGATCTATCATTTTCTGATTTCTACTATCCAACCATTATTTAAGAAACTGTTATTCATTATCTATGTAGTTTTATAATTTTTGTTGATATTATTTATTATTAGTATTATGTAATTCTGTTGATTACATTATGGTCTGAAAATAGAGTATTGGTAATTTCTGCCTTTTTGAATTTATGTGGCGTTCCTCTTTTTAAATTTTAAAAAATTTGATTTTTAATTTATGAAATGAAACAAGCATTTCTATAACATAGTAGAATAAAAAGATGATTGCACATAAAACTACAAATCTATTATGTACAACTTGCTATTCCTTTTAAATATATAATAAAGTTCTCATTAAATTTCTTTTTTCCCCCTTTTTTCTCCCCCATCCTCAGAGATGGCCACCATTCTGCACAAATATGTACATATGTGTCAAATCATTCTATACATACTTCTATTTATCATTTCTATAGTGTCTTCATATGTCCTTTGTAGTTAATTTAGGTATTTATAATAGTCAAAATGACTTAATTGCTCAAAGTTGTTCTTAAAACAATATTGCTGTTACTGTATACAACGTTCTCTATGACCTATAACATGATAGGTTTTTGTGAGCATTCTGTGTATGCTTGAAAAGACTATTATCTATTTCTCCTATTTACTTCTTTGCATATAAGTATTAAGTAACATATTAAGTAATCAAATAAATGATTTCTTTATTATGAATATTTTTATTTGTTCTGTCACATTCTGAAGTGTTGGGATTCCTTAATATTACTACATTGTAAAATGTTTTTTCTTTTCATACAGCTATTAAAAACTTAACTGTCAAATTGTTTTGCACATGGAAATTGAGAGTTTTATGTATTTGTTATTTTTTCCTTTCACTATTAAATAATGTCTTTTTCTCTTTCGATCTTTTCCAAATTGAATTCCACTTTATCAGGTATCATTACTACCAGTCTTTTTTTTTTTTTTTTGGAATTGCTTTTAATTTTAGACCAACCTCTTAATTTTAGGCTAGCTATGTTTTTTTTTTTACGGCATATAAGCAACTTAATGCTGGGTTTTAGAACTTGATTCATTCTATAATTCTTTTTTTAAAATAGGAGAATTTATGCCACTTGTGTATCATGTTATGAATAATAAATTTGGTATGTCTTTTGTCATTTTCTTCTTGGAATGGTCTAGAAGTATGGAATCTATCTTAATCTAATTATTTCAAGTATTAAGACTAGCAAATAAAGCAAATTGTATTTGTGGGTTTTAAAAATTATTAAAATACTTACTTCAGGATGAATAAGTATATTTTTGGATTAGGGAAGGCAGAACTAGCTGTCTTGACTTCTCTACTCTGCCATCTCCCAGGACATCCTTTAAAGAGATACTTCTTCAAGGATGTTCTTGGAATGGTTTAGAATTATGGAGGTAGGTAGTATCAATACTCTTCTAGACATATTCTACATCTTAGACATGTGAGGAATGTATTCTAGACCTAATGATGTTCTTTCCATTCCTTAGGCACCAGGAACTCTCCAAAATCCAGCCTCTCAGGATTTCACAATGATATTAATGTCTTAGGTTGCAGTCCTGGAGTACTGGCTTGGAGAAGAAATCTGGGTAGCTTTCCAAGACTGTGTTCTATTGCCTCAACATAAAACATAGAATCTTGGCATTTAAAATCCTGAACAACTTGATTGCTTTCCAGTCTTGTTTCATACTGCTTCATTTCACACATATCCTGCTCCAATCAGACTGTTCTTCTGGCTGTCCCCTGTACATGTCATTTCATGATCTACCCTTATGTTTTTTCACAGGTAGTTCTCCATTTCTGGAATTCCCTTCCTCCTCACCTCTGCCTCTTAAAGTACCTAACTTTCTTCAAGGCTCAGCCTTGGTGATAACCTTCTCCACAAAGTCCAATATCTCCACTTGTTAGTACTGTCTCCCAAGGTGGCAAAGGGTATAGAGTATGGGGCTAAAAGAGTCAAGAAGCCCTAAGTTCAAATCTGGCCTCAGACACTTACCCTTGGCAAGTCATTTAACTTCTGTTTGCCTCAGTTTCCTCATCTGTAAAATGGGGGTAATAATAACGTCTACCTTGTAGAGTTTTTGTGGGGATCAATGTGATAATAGTTGTAAAGAGCTAGACATAGTAAGCTCTATATAAATATTAGCTATTATCAAAATTACCTTGCAAATATTTTGTAATTATTTATTTTTGCACATATAATATCTTCCCAGCAGATTATAAGCTCCATGAGGGCAGGGGCTGTTTCAGTTTTGACTTTGTATTCTCCATTACTCTTTAGAGGCCTAGTCCTCTCAGAGGGTATAAAAAGTATAGGCCTCAAAGTTCTCTGATACAATGACTCAAAAGTGAAAATAATCACTTGAGAAACACTGTCAGGTACAGCTAAAAAAACGTATCCTTGTGGTCTTTACCTTTAGTTTGCTCATGGTCCTATGAGGCCTGGAGCAATGGCTCCAGGGAAAATTACTGCCCAAATGATTAATTCTGAAAGAATAGGTAAACTATAACAGCACATTCAACTCCAAAGGCACAATGCACAATACACTATCACATTATCCAACTTAAATTAGCTATTGATGTGGTCTTGCTTCTTGCTCAAAGGAATTGTTGTTGGCAGAGAGTGTGAGACATTTTATAATAAGGTCAAGGGAAGAAGAATTTATAATTGTACTTGTTGAGGCACTCATACCTCCTTATTTCAGTTTGGTTTTAGTCTCAAGGCTGAGACATACAATGGGTCACTTGTACCATTTTGTTGATCTGTATAGACTACTTTTTAGTATGTTTTGCAGAGTCTACTCACTGGGAAAAACAACAACACTATATACATATTTTTTGCGTAATGACTTCGACTGTTCTTGGTACCATAGGTATGTTGGGAAGTTTACAGATGAAAAAGTTGAAGTATAGTGATTTTCATTGACATCTAACATTTTACAAGAAGGCATTGGCAGAATTTCCGTTTTATTACCCAATCTCTGAACAAAGTTGTCTCCTAATCTTATCTCATTGACTCTGTAACAACAGTACTGTAACATGCTTTTTAAATGAGGTATTAATTCTACTAAAATGTGGTTGTTTAGCAGGCATACTTTGCAAAGTATGTATAAAAAAGTTTGACAATTATATTCTTGTTTCTGGTTATTGTTATATGTTTGGGTCTCTTAAAACATTTTACTAAGTGGGCTCTGATAAGTTCTGGATTGTTTTTGCAGTTTTAATGACTTAAATGGTCTATTTCTCTGACTAAAATATTTGATTTCATAGATTAAAACCCTGGAACAGACCAAAACCATTGAAAACCTAAACAAATCCAGGGGTAAACTGGAGAAGATGAAGGAGAAGGTGGAGAAACAGTTGATGTCTGTTAAGTCAGAGCTGGATATAACTGAACATGAAGCAAAGGAAGATAAAGAGAGAGCTAGAAACATGCTAGATGTCGTCACCAGTGAAATGAAGACACTGAAGAGCACATTGGAAGAAACAACCAAAAGAGAGAAGCAGGTATGTAAGCATTTGTTGGCTAGGCGATCCACAGAGAATGCCTCCTAGAAAGCAAAAGCTTCATAATATTAATTAGCTCTTTAATCTGCCATACTTCTCATATTTATCATTATCTGTTTTTTTTGCATTAACATTTTTACTTTGCTAAGAGTTTTTATCAAATCTTAATGGGATGAGGTTCTGGGAGTACTAATTTAAAATGCATTTTCCTAACTTCTAAAGGTTTACAAGTGCTTGATTGACAGCCCTATGATATAGGAAATATAACTCAAATTTAAAACTTGAAGAGTCACAAAGTACTTTCTGAAAGGTAATGAATTCCCTGTAAAAGTTAAGTAGAACCTTTGGCCAAACTTAAATATTGTCTGCAACTATCTTCACCATTTGCATCACTCTTGGGATTGCTTAGTATTTAAAAGAGTCAACCAGTACCCCAGCATTGAGAGGGGAGACTTATCTCTGACAGGGAGGGCTCTATTGAAGGAAACTACCACAAAATCTCAAACAGTGGCACAGAAAATTGATGGAAGACCAAGCACATATGTAAACCATAAAAAAAGGACTCATTCACTTGTTAGTTGTAAGTAGGAGTTTATCTGGCAGCTACATCAGAAGGTCAGTCTCATAAAGAAACATGTCCCGGGCAGCCTGACCCCCATTGTTTTTGGCTTTCATCTCTCCATCTTTCTAGAGCTCCAAAGGGCATAGACTGGACACTGAGCCTAGTGCTTTTCTCCCCTCTCTTAGTTGGCTCTGCTCACACTTGTGTTTGGTAAAATTCACTTGTAAGTCCCTCCGGTCCTGGAGGTTTTTTTTTGGGGGTGTGGAGGGATGGAGGGGGTTTATGGATTGTTCGATTTCTTTTTCTGATATTGAGAGCCTAGATTATCTGCTCTGAGAAGAAAGGAAACAACAGAAATAGAGCCTTGTCTACATTAAGAAGAAAAAAGAAGAATCTGAGGGAAGATTTTTCCTCCCTGAGACAAAGTACTAAGGAAGAGTCTGTATTTTTGAAACTTTAAGCTCAGCGCTTAAGAGCAAGTTACAGGAAATACGAAATGATGGGTAGAAAATCTCACTTTCTTTTCAACAAACAAGCACAAAAGACAACCAAGAGAATAGCAGTAATTGCCAGTCCCTATTCTTACTTTTCTTCATGTATAAAAGTTTTATTAAAAAAATCTGTACATACGTTGAGGACATCTAAGTGATATTTGAAAGGAAGAGGCAGGATTTGGTAAGTGATATTATATAATAGAAACAACTTTACCATAATATGAGTAGCTGAAACATGTAGAGAATACAAGATCCCTCTATGTTTATTGTTTGACTATTAAAAAAAGAACTGCTATGATAGAGCAAAACTCTGCTTTAAAGGCTTTTCTTCAGTAAGGTATGTCCCAAGCATATGTCAAAATTAAACAGGATTTCTTGAAATAAATAGCAGAGAATAGCTTTGTTCTGATTATTAATGTCAAGCAAGATAGAATTGAGGAGACATATATTTGCCAAAGACTGGAGAAGTTCCAAGAGAATCCAAGTTTAAGAGGGATTCTTTATAGTCATTGAACTTTTCCAGAAACTCCTGTGTGGGGTAACATTGTGATTATTAAATCAAGTCCAGGAAGATTGCAGAGCCTCTTAAATGAGATCCATACTCATCTAAAAAACTAACTTAACTATCCACATGGGACAAACTAAGTGGATGAAGATTGTCTATAATACAGCATTGGCTTTAAGTTTTATGTAAAATCCGACTAAAACATTGAACACTTAGGCTCCAAAGGACCATCGCTAGTTATCTTTCCAGATTGACATCTGTCCATTAATCATTTTCCTCATATTCAAGCAACCGTTTGAATACACTTATTTGAACATGTAGTCCATATTTCTTCATATTATCTACAAGATATCATGAGAAATTTTATCAAATGTTTTGGTGAAATCTAGATATGCTATACTGATGGCATTTTCATCAGTATAGTAATCCAGTCAAAAAAGGAAATGAAGTAAGTCTGGTATGAACTGTTATTGATGAAAGCATATTGGCTTAGTTATCATTGTTTCCCTATGAGTTCATCTGCTTATGGTTTGAAATGACTTTTGTTTTTTTTTTTCTTTTTGAAAATAAGGTCAACATTTTCAGTCTTGTGGCACCTCTTTCAGCAGTCACATTAATCTATTCTTTCAGTACCTTCAGGTATAATTTATTTAGACCTGATGACTTGAAGGCAACTAGGTACTGTCTTACATATCTCTTGACTTATCTTGGCTTTTAACACCTTGTTAATTGTTTTTGCTATTCTCCCAGTTTTAATATTGTTTTCTTTTGTATGGAAAATAGAAACACAATAGGAGATGAGTAGTTCAGCCTTTTTTCCAATGTCACTGTAATTATTCTATCTACTTTGTTAAGTATTCTTATCATTTTTTGATCTTTTTTTAAAATAGAAATTTATTTATTTTTAGCTTTCAACATTCACTCCCATAAGTTTTTGAATTCCAAATTTATACCCCATTATCATTTTTTGATCTTCATCTTGAAGATCAAACATAGATATGAAAAGCCCCTTTTCTTATTTTTGACATTCTTCAATATCCTCAAATTATTCTGAGCCTTATTTTTCTTGACAGGATTCTTACAGTACCATGCTAATGTTTTGTATTTATCTTTAGCTACCTGCCCTATTTCTATATTCTGTATGTATCTTTAAAATATTCTAAATTGGTTGCTATATCCCATACAGATTCCCATTGATCTCTTTAGACAAGTCCCTCTTTTATTCCTCATCAGATTTAGTTGTGTCATCACAGACACACAAGTCTTTGGTTCCTCCACCCTTCATTCCCAGCAAGCATGGGCTGTGGTGCGGGCATATGATGAGATGTGAACCCCAATCAACAGTGTGGAACTCTGGGTCTCTGATATTGCATGTTTATGGTTGCTGGGCTGATTCTTGGGGACCCAAGTAGGAGGGGGGCCCTTAGAAACAGTCAATCAGTAGGAAGCCTGACTTGCAACCTTCCTTCCCCTTATTGATCAAAAGGGCATCAAAAAGGAAACTTTGCTAACCTTTCATACACTGATTAGATGAAGTTTGCTAAACTGATTATAACCAAGAGAGCCCAATATTCCTTGTCTAAATGAAGCTGACTAAACCACTTATTGGATACATAGACACTTTCTGATGCATAAGCTGGTCAATAAGTGGTCAAACATAGACTCACTTCTGTCTGCTAAGACCTAGCAATAGGCCAGTCTTCACAGTTTGCCATAATCTTTATGTTATTAAAATATTGATTAATGGTTAAGTTGTGTATATGAGTGCTTTGGATAAAGTGTTGAGAGGACAAATTGGAAAAGATCCAGATGGAAAAGAGATTTAAGACCGTAATATCTTCCAGAATAAGATTTCTGGAGGAGGCCTCATATTTAAAGGAGAAAAGTTATCAACTTATTTGAACAACTTCCAAGAGCAGAGAGAATGAATCCCTTAGGGTTTCTCTGTGCATCAAAATGAGCTAATAACAGTGTGGGTGTAGTAGCTGGAGAAGCTATTACCTGCTTGCCACATGGCTAGTTTAAAAAGAAACCAGAAAGGAAGGATCTGAGGAAAGGCTATGAAGGAAGTCACATCATAAGGAGGGAAAGTGGCCCAGATAGCCAAAATACATATAGAGATACACATACATAATATACTACATAATATATACATGTACATATATACATACGTAGTATACAAGGGACAGCTAGGTGGCACAGTGGATAGAGTACTGTGCCTGAAGTCAGGAAGACTCATCTCCCTGAGTTCAAATCTGGCCTCAGACACTTACTGGCTGTGTGACCCTGGGTGCTAGTTATGTGACCTACCATTTAGCCTCTCACTGTGTGACTTGCCGAGGGTCACACAGCTAGTAGGTGTCAAGTGTCTGTTTTGAGACCAAATTTGAACTCAGATCCTCCTGACTCTAAGGCCGGTGCTCTATCCACTGTGTCACTTAACTCTGTTTGCCTCAGTTCCTCATCTAAAATGAGCTGAAAACAGAAATGGCAAACTACTGCAGTATCTTTCAAATGGGGTCATGAAGAGTTGCACATGACTGAAACAACTGAACAACAATATACATATACATTATACACATATACATTATATATGTATACACACAATATTTCTATACATGTGCATACACATACGCACACATGTATATACATGTACCTGTAAATTATATGTGTGAATGTATATGTATACATATAAATATACATGTATACAAATTTACATGTGTATATATGTATATAAACCCCAGAATGTCATTTTTTTAGGAGAAGGCATCAGTAGCTGGGGAAGTATGTAGATCACGAATGGTTTCATGTTGAAGGTGGGACTCGAACTTGGATTTGATAGAAACAGAGGATTTTGTGAAGAAGAGGGGAGGAAGGAATGCCTTCCGGACATAGGGGGCAGCCAGGACAAAGGCTCAGAAATGGAATATGGAAGGAAAGTCATGCATGAAGAATAGCAAGAAGATCACTTTGGCCGGATTGTAGAGTGTGTGAAAGGAAATACTGCGTAATAATTAGTCTGGAAAGGAGGGTTGGAGGAGTTTGCACTTGATCTTAGCAGTAATTGAGAGCCACTGGAGTTTATTGGAGGGAGTGCTCTGGGGTTCAATTCGTGCTTTAGAAAAATATCACTTAGGCAGCTGAATGGAAGATGAATTGGAGATGGAAGCAAATTAAAGCAGGAAATCATATTAGGAGGCTAGTCCAAAAGTCCAGATGAGTGGTGATTAGGGCTTGAATGAGGGTGGTAGTCACACAGAGAAGGGGACAGATACAAGAGATGTGGAAGAAGAGTCAACAAGACTTGGCAACTTGGAAGCCTCTTACGGTCTCTTTGGTGGCTAGTGGCCTGCTCCTGGAAACTTGAAAAAATTAGGGTGTATGGGTGTTCAAGGAGCACTAGCACCTCTGGTGTGAGTGGTGTGAGGGCTTGCTGAGCCCTTTTTTTAGGGCTACTTATCCATCTTTGGTGTGCACCTGGCACTCAACTCTCACCTGTGCCTCCAAGGAGCAGCCAGGCTAACCAGGGTGAGGGTAACCAACGGGCCACAGACCCATCAATGAGTTAGTAGTGTGTCTACCCCAAGCATCTGAAGGCTTTCCCCCAGCTGAGCAGTCAGATGAGAACACTTTGTTCCAACAGCCATGATGGCAGCTGAAGCAGGTACTGTGGAGTACTTAGAGCTTGGTCAGACTGCACCCTGGACCATCTCCAGTCATCCTGACTTGTGTCTTGCCACTGGACTTCAGTGACTCTGTGCAGCTCTGCCTCACTTAAATCCAATTCATGTATGAGTTAAGACCATCACCTGTGCTGTCTTTGGTCTTCTTTGTAAACGAAGGACAAACAATGACTCCTGGAAATGAGTTTCTATCACTTTATGTGTATTTTACCTTTTATTTTTTTGGTACATGTTTCCCCCCCAACAGAATCAAGTTAAGTCATCAAGCATTTATTAAATGCTCAATATATGTCAGTCACTGACATGTTTTAATCTTTGTATTCTTGGTGCCTGCAACAGTAGGCACTTAATAAATGCTTATTGAATAAATAAATATTGAACAGAATCAGACTATGACAGAGCTCTGAGGTATTGTAATAGAGACCTTTAAGTTGATATCAATCCATTATTCACTCATTTTTTAATTAGCCTAGTAACCATCTTAAAAAGAAAATGAGGTTAGTTTAGCATGACTTGCTCTTAATGAATCTATGTTGCCTTGTAGCAATCACCTCTGGATTTGAAACTATTTACTTCTATGGAAGCTTTGGAAAATCACTTAACCACTCTACAAACCAGCTTCCTCACTTGTAAATTGAAGACATGGCACTAGATGATCTCTAAGGTTCTTTCCAGGCCCAATTCCATGACCGCTTCCCTTTCTAAGTGCTCAGATATTTTCCCTTTAATTTTCTTTTCTAGAATTTACTAGGCACTAGAACATAATAATTTTATTCGGTTTCATCTAACAAGACCTTAAGAGTCAGCATGGCATAATCAATAGAGAGCTAGCCTCAGATTTAGGAAGGCCTGGGTTCACCTTTCACCTTTGACCCATGCTAGCTATATGACCTAAGTTTCAGAGCAGTTGCCAACCTACTTTGATAGAAGGCTTTTCCTCACTGGCAGTTCCCCAGGAGTCCTTCCTCTCACTCATACCCCACACCTTCCCACAAAGACATTGATATAACACTAAGAAAAATCTGAAGTTCAGCGTGTTTACCAGGAGAGAAATCTGAGCAGCCAATGGTAAGTCAAAGACCTGACAATTAGGAGGTGAGGGGAAATGTCAGTGAAAAAGGGAATAAAACAACTTAAAAAGACAATAACTCTGATCACTGGAGTAATGAACCATCAGAGGACCAATGATGAAACATGGTACCTACCTCCTGCCAGAGAGGTGATGGACTCATAGCGCAAAATGAAACACATTTTTGGACACAGACAATCTGGGGATTTGTTTTGCTTGGCTATGTGTCTTTGTTTCTGTTTTTCATTTGGGGTTGTGGTGTGGTGGTTGGGAGGGAGTATTGGGCTAGTGATGAGTTTGTTAAAAAAAAAAAGAAAATAGAAAAAAGGAAAAAATGATAGAGATGTTCTAAGAACAAATTTTATCTTCATCAATTTTTAAAGGATAAATTTATTTAGTGAATTTATTTTGTTAATTTTGCACAATCCTTGAGCAGAGCTTATTATTCTCTTTGGCTTTTTAGTGGTTCTCTTTTACCACATATGATATTTTGATTCTTTTTGTTATTTCAGCTGGTAGACTTCAGGGAAGTGGTTTCACGGATGTTGGGCCTAAATATTACCAGCCTTGCTGTCCCTGACTATGAAATCATCAAATGTCTTGAAAGACTCATCCATTCTCATCAGCATCACTTTGTTCCCTGTGCCTGCCTTAAAGATGTGACTACTGGACAAGATAGATCCTTGCAGGACCAGTTAAAACCTTTGCACTGACCTCTGCCTCACTTGAGGGAAGCCTTGCTGAAGGTCTTACAATGAAGCAACCAGATTGAATGGTTTCCAGACCTCGATTCAAATTTTAGTTATGGGAACAATCCACTATTATTTCTTGTGCCATCATTTGGGGGTACAGCCAATGGAGGCAGATCTCTTTCATCATACCTGGGTTTAAATTGTGTAATTTTCCCACTAATATTGATTAGGATTTAATGAAGGCAAGTTCTCAGATCCCAAATCTTTTCTGTGAGAAAAAGGATGAGCTGAAAACATTCCTTTCTCTTCAGATTGAATCTCTTGAATCTCTTATAAATAAGTGCTTCTACTTGGGAATGAATGAATGCAAAACATTTATTAAGCACTTATTATCTGCCTGGCACTGTGCAAAGGGAAAGACTCAGTACAAGTTTGTAGCTGAAGTCTTTGAGTTCCATTTTTAAATTTCCTTTACAAAGTAATCAAGTCAAGTTTGTTAAGAAACTGGTTTTCTCCCTTTCCCCTTCCTCTTTCATTGGTCTAAGACAAAAATTCATATTTACTTCTGACCACTCTCCATCTTCCTTCTTCGAGATCCTTTCCTGTTTTCTCATTGCATGCATATTTTTGCTGGGAATCAGATTCTTAACATTACTGAGAAAAGTGTTGAAAATTTCTTTAACATAGCATTTATCTGTCTGTTTTAAAGAAGTATCCCCTAGCTTCGCTGTAATGCTTTTGGTGAAACATCAAGGTACCCCGAGGGAGAAATAGGAGGTGGCGTGTGTCAGGCAAGCCAAACCACCACTACCTTCCCTCTGACCCATATAGAGACAGCCCAGGCCTCTGAATCCAATAGCAGCACTCCCTGCCTTATACTAGGAGCCCTTCTTTGACCTGGGCCTCACAGCTATCATGGATGGGAGCAATCACTATGGAGAAGGGGCCTGCTTTTTTCAGTATCCCCACACCAAACACTTACCAACTGTTACCAGCTGTCATCAACTGGCAAATAAGCCCAAGAGCTTGGAAATGACAGCACTCTCTTCACCCTTCTGCTATCATCCTGTCCCTATAGCTCTCTTCCCCGTAAAGCAACCCTGCTGAAGATGCAGCCTTGAACTACTTCTGTGCAAGCTGCAGTCACAGATACTGAAGATCTTGGGAGAAAAGAAAAGGTGTATAAGTTGTTGTTGTTGTTGTTGTTGTTTTTTACTATCTGAGCCTCAGCTCTGTCAAATAGGTCAGCATCTGAAAATGATATGATTTTTCAGTGGAAATGACATTAAAAAGGATGCATTGCCATTGGTTTTGCTATGATACTCTAAGGATCATGGGACTTTTCCATCTGAATTGTAGCTGAAACCTGCTCTATGTGTTGTTTCCCCAATTAGTATGTGAGCTCTTTCCAGAGCAGGGACTTATTTTACTTTTTTATTTGATTCCCAATTCCCAAAGGCACAGTTTTGATTAATGATGTTCCTTGGTATGTGTGTGTGTGTGTGTGTGTGTGTGTGTGTGTGTGTGTAGGGAAGGAGATGTAGCTGACTCTTCTCCCAGGTGCTCAGTCAGCTGCAGCCTCTGTTTGCCTCCTCACATTTCCCCCAAGCAACTTTTAGCTGTTTCACAAGCTATGGTATCTGGTGGATATACCGATGCCAAAGGAGCCCAGGAAACAACTCAGCTCAAACTAGGCGCTGGAATGGAATGTGATTCTTTGTCTGATCCACAGTCCCAATCTTTAACACAGGACGTAATTAGGTGTTTAGCAAATATTTGCTAAATAAAAGAATGATCTTTTTTTTACCGTTATCTTCTCAGTTTGAAATTTCTGTCTGCTTTTGAAATTTAGTTAAATAAATTGGCTTTGATTTGTCTTAGCTATTTTCTAAAAATAGATTTAGCATGTTCTCAGTTAATGTTATTTTCATTTTAAAATACAAAATATCAGTTTTTTCTTTTCTATTTAGAGATTTAAGGTAACTATATGTTCAAGTTCATATAAAAGATCAAAATGGACAAATAATAGATACTACATGAGATATCCATTTGAAAACATTTCTATTATGTCTCAAAATATATATACAACATATATCCATGTGTATTATATGGACATGTTATATAATATGTCTGTAGTTTATATAATATAATGTCTATATAACATAATACTATATAGACATAGAAATTTAAAATAAGGAAATCGTTCAGAATTTCTAGTAGAAAAGGAATGTGAGATAAAATGATCATATCTACCTACACTTGTTTCCTCTGACATAATCTTCTACTCCATATAATACACACACACATACACATTTCCACCCCCCCCATATAGATATTAGTTGGTTTATAATTTTGAAAATGTCAAATTGGAAATGTTTTAATAAAACTTTTTTAAGTGAAAAATTTTTGGTTTGACAATTGATGAATGAATGCCACAGGGTGTAAGTCTATAATTAATTTGCACTTTTAATTAGGAAGTGATTGTATTCCATAATAAAGTCCATATATGTTGCATAATAAAATACATTAGATTGATCCAATGTCCTGGATAATGTTCTTTTTAAAAAAAATTCATACTCTTTGTTTGAGAAATTGTCTTGACAAGTCTTGTTGTCATCTATTGAGCCTAATTTCTGAGAAATTGTATTTAGCCAGAGCGCCTTTGAGATATGCGTTGAACACTTTCCCCCTTTTCTCTAAATTTCAAGTTTTTCTGAATACATTTGCCTTAGATTAAGTAGTGAGTGTTTGAAGAATATGTGATGTTGCCTGTAACTCTATTAAGGAAGTAGACTTCTTGGAGATGTCCAGTGTCTGGCCCATCTCAAAATGATCTCTTACTCCTTTATTTCTCATAGTACTTGGTCTTGGCCTCTCTTTTGCACTTACCTCATTTCCTTTAGGCTCATGGATTATCTGTCTACATGTCTCTTCCTCCTGTCCTGACCTTTCCACTTTAGATTATAAGCCCTTTGAGAGCAGGCATAGCTATGCTTTTCTTTTTATTTGGAGAGCCTAGCACACAGTAAGGACTTAATAAATCTTTGCTGAATATGAATTTATTGACTCCTACCTACTGTAGTGCTAGAAAAGCTGTATAGACTGGCTCATTTTCACTTTCAGTAATATAATTTTTGATCAGAAAGACCTGCTACTATGGAACTATGGAGCAGTTGTATTAATCACTTTGGAAACATATTGATCTCTTTTGTTGGGATACATTATGAACACTAAGACCCTAAGATGTGTTGTTTCGTTTTGAATGTATCAGGATTTTCAGCTGCGTCCATACAGATTCACCTTATTGGCTTGGTGGGCGGCTTATAAAATTGCGTATGAATCAGAAAATGCTTTCATATGCATTGTATCATGATAGCAGCCTTGTAGGTGGGTATGCATATTCCCAGAAAATACAGCAGAAAAAAGAGGCGGCTTGCTTAGTGTGCCAGTTATTAACAGAAGCAGAAACTTTTAACAAGGTATCTTGGCTTCTAGTTCAGTGATCCTTGCATTGCACTAAAATTCTGCCCACATATAATTGTCAGTGAACTTCTTGAGCAAAGAGACTATATGGTAAAGGGTGCTGCTGTCTATGAGGAAAAGATGGAGGGTTTGAACTACACAGCTGCTTGATGCTAACTGCTATTAGTTCTCTAGGGAAGAGGTTGAATCCAGTAGTTTTCTGGGAATGGTAAGTAATGAAAGGCTGTGTTCCTACCTTCAAAGTATGAGGATGAAGATACTTTGTTCTAAAATCCTGTTTAATGGAAAGTTTTCCCATTATATTGGCAGCTGTCAATATTTTGGTTGCAATATCTCTTTTTGGTTGCTGCCAGAAAATCCTACCTACCATTGGTGGAAAGTCAGTTAACTATTTGGTGTTGCTTTTTTGAAAATTTCAGCTTTTCTAGTGGTATAACAACCTCCTTTAAATATTTAAGAAAAAAAATCAGGGACGAAGGGAGCTTTTTCACTGGTGTTTCCTCTTTGCAAGCCCTTTTAAAGCTTTGCAAAGCCTTTTCAAGGCTGAGTAGAAAAGAGAAACTACTCTCTTCTTCTTCCTCCTCCTCTTTCTCCTCCTCCTTCTTCTTCTTCCTCTTCCTTCCTTCTGCTTCTTTTTCTTCTTCTATCTGGATTTTTAAGCAAAGGCTTTATTTTGGCTTATATTATTCTACTACTATAATCATTTCCATTAACCAAAAGTACTACAAATATAGGCTCCATATTATTTTTTTTTCAAAAAAGTGTCATACATACTTTGACATAAGAGCATCAGTAATTTTTTTCTACTATGTTTTAAAGTCTTTCTACTAATGAAAATGCAGGTGTATTTTATAAAGTAACTAGGAGTTTCTTAATGCCTAAAAAGGCAATTAATATTAATATTAGTTCTGAGAAAATTACCTACATTCATCATTATGAACAGAATATTCTCTTCCTGGAAAGATGTATTATTTATATTGCTTTCATTTTGATCACTTATTTCTGATTATGTATTTTATACTTTTTTCAAATATGCTATATACTATCAACCTCCAGAATTCAGTCCAAGAAAGATGAATAGAATTAGGTTGTATCCATGTTTATTTCTCTCAAAGTGGGCAGCGTGCATGGGAGACAGTCTAGAACTGGTCTCATTTTAGGGTTAAGGTGCACAGTTTATATATCCTTTCAACTAGGGCTGATGTCATCCCATCATCATTTCACCTCTGCACAGAGCAAATATCTCTATGCCAGACTACTTCCAGCCATACCAGACCACTCCCAACCACACCAGACTACTCCCAGCCTTGGGCTATCTAGATAAAAGAATCTGTCTCCACCCAAGGTTGAGTAGAACCTTAAGAATATGCCATGATCCTCCCTCCTTAAGAATATGCCATGATCCTAGTTTGTTAGTAAATTATTCCTTCCTTCATTCAACAAATATTTATTGAGCAAGAAACAGTTCAAGGACTACAAGAAATACAAGGCAGACTCCTGCCCTCATGGAGCATTTAATATAAATGTCTGTAATGCAAGGTAAAATACCAAAGGGCAATAAGAGAGGGACAAAGAGCTATGGTGACTCAAAGGAGCTGTGAGATTACTGAAATCTGAAATATCAAGGAAAGCTTCACGGAAGATGTGGAATTTGATTTGGGATATCAAGGATCAATCAACTATTTACTATGTACCAGGACCATCAACAGATTGAGCTGGGGGTGCCCTAGGTGATCTTTTTCATTAGTGAGTTGTATTATTTTGATGGTTGTGACCCATCTCATGGTTCAAGTAGGAAATTCTGTCTATAGAATTGAGGCTGAGTGATAGATTGCATTGTTATTATAACTTATTGTAGACTGGAGTATCAAATGCAGCCCTCATTCCTTCATTTTAAGAGACTCCTTTCCTAAGTATGGTTTATTTTAATTTCCCCCCCCCTTTTTTTGCTTATGTGTTAGGAGTTAATAGTTTTCTCTGAGGTCTAGCTACAGGTAATCTCATCAATTTGCATGTCAAAAACTGAACAAGTTTTTTTCCTTCTAATTTCTGCAAAAAAGTTCTGTTTCCCACCTCCCTCTCACATATACATAGAACCCATACTCCACAAGATAACAGTAATTTCTTTCAAGGTCACTCAGGATATGTATTAGCTGAGCAGATTACGTAGTCTGGGATAATTACCACTTCCCAAGTGTACTCCTTGTGTATCGTCCTTAGTTTAATGAGGAGAACTAGCCTGTTGTAGTTTTTCCCCCAGTCAGGAGGTGCCAACAGTTGAGGCTACAGAAGGTCCTGAATGTGTTTTGAGGCCAAGTTGACTCAAAGACTAGTCTATAATAAGTTACAATAACTTGATCTATCACTTAGCCTCAATTCTATAGACAGAATTTCCTACTTCAGTAGAACCTTGAACCATGAGGTGGGGCATGGCCATCAAAATAAGACAACTGACTAATGAAAATGACTACCTAGGATACCCCCAGCTCAACTTGTTGATAGGCCTGGCATATAGTATGTCTCCATAAGCTCAGGAATGGGCAGCCTGACCAATTAGTGATCTTAAATTTTTAAGAACACTTGAAAAGTAGGGTATTATTGATTTAAAAAAAACAACTACTGTGTCAGAAACAGAACTTTTTCTTGAGTATGGAGAACCATGTAGCCTCTAATTGCATTGCTGCTTCTATTCTGAAATTTACACAAATATACTGGTGCTCATATTGACATGAAAAAAGGAGGTGGAGAATCAGGACCTCTACAAGCTTAGAGGAGAATTCTTATCTGGAAGTACCCAATGGTATGTTGGTAACTTTCTCACACTTTCACTTCACTATTCATCTGAGCTCTAGTCAGCTGTAATTTATAGCCTATAATAAACACTGCTGGAATATTCATGAGTTGTGCTTTTTTTTTTTCATCTTTTAGTGGCACTCAATGAACATTTACAACTTGGCCATCTATTTAGAGAGCATTTGCTGCTAAATGTTAGGGAACAGCAGGTGAGCCTGATTCCTTTTCTGACCCTGGAAGTAGTTCCACAAACACTAGGAGAGAGGTTGATACAAAGGAGAAGAGAAGACGCCAGTTAGCCTGCAGTTCTCTGTTGAGTCCTTTCACGTGCCCAGCCTTGCAGAGTTTAAAAGAACTGTCTATGATTTTGTAGTTCCTGATTTTTCCCCTGAGAATTTTCCGTGAAACTTTTATGCAATACTTTGCTCAGAGCAGGGCTTTGATGTGTAGTAGAAAGAGGCAGAACAAGGGCCCCTGAGTTCTAGTCCTGTCTCCGATTTATCTTGTTGCATGACTTTAGACTTTGCCTCCTTCTGCCTCTTTTTTCTCTCCTATAAAACCAAAAGGCTTTCACTAGATGAATAGTCCATAATGTGCCTTCCAACTGTGTGATCATGTGACCCTCTCTTGGGAACAGACTAAGTGAGCAAGTACATAATACCTTAGCATTTTGCATGGAAAGAGGGTTTAAAGTTGACAAATGAAGTCTGATATATACATGGCAAGTTGTTCTGTGAAATAACTCTCAATGACCAAAATAGACTTCTTGATCAAAATATGCTGTGCATTTAGATTTACAGAGAATGATAAAAATATATTTTAAAAACTAAGAAGATTATCAATAAATATTTACAACTCATTTAAAAAAAGAATTTTGCAAACTCCTTTAAATGTTTTTTGTTGTAGTAATTAAGAAATAGTGGTAAGTTGTCATTCTTAGAAAGAAAGTGACCTTAAGGGGGGAAAAAAACATCACCAAAGTTTCCTTCTTCGGACTCAACTTCTTAGTGGCAGCCTGAATTAGACAGAGTGTGTGTCTATAGGCACAAACTCATTTGTAAGCCTGTATGCATGACACAGACATATGCCATGGTACCATTGCCCATGCCTGGAGTCTATGATCAGCACCACAACCTCCCATTTTAGATGGCAATTTGTCATTTCAAAGTTAAAGTTGGCAAGGGAATTAATGACTTTATGTAGAGCTTTCTGTAGCTGTTTGTATTTTGCCAAGACTTAG